CAATCTCTGTGTCTTCCATGAGACAATTGTTGCTGCCTGAAGTAAATCAAGGCCATCTAATAAAATATTGACTTTGCTTTCCACAGGGCTGCAGCCGGAGGCAGCACAAGCAGGCGGATTTTAAAATTCGTCGACAAGATTGCCAAGTCGAAGTATTTCCAGAAGGCCACAGAAAACGAGTACATAAAAAAGAAGATCGAAGAAATGTCCAACACTCCTCTGCTGCTTGCGGTGGAAGTGCAGGAGCTCTCAGGAACCCTCGTCGTCAACATTCCTCCTCCCCCTACTGACAGAATATGGTACGAGCTGTTCTCACAAAGATCTGAGCACACGCTGTTAACGTTGCATTAGGGACCGAAGCTTTGCATAAGCTTACACGATGTTTGGAAAGATTATTCAGAGCAATCTTGCTTCTAAAAGTTTGGTGTCAGACGCTCTTGAAGGTTTAGCTTCGTCTTAATTAAATTTCAATTTGGGTTTTAGGGATTAGAGTCACACTGTCAACAGGCTGTGCTTGATGAGTTCAGAGATGTTATCATGCCGATCAGAAGATTTTTTTTATACATGTTTCAGGTAAAGAAACGAGGAGCAGAATTTTGAAGCATCTTTTTATTTTGAAAAGAGATGTTATTATGTAAATAAAATACTATTTTGTATATAAGTAATAGTAAATAATATATATATATTTAAATAAAATATATACTTAACTAAAACCTGAAAGCAATGCTTCAGCATAGTTAATTGCAATAGAAAATTGGTTAATATGTAAATGTGTATGTAAAAAGGTGTAAATATAATTGAACTTATATGTGCTTTTTTGGCATGCTTGGACAGGACCTAAGACATATGTTATTTACACAGTACATAATTTTGTAATTACATGTGTTGTCCTTTAAATATGATGTGTACACACAAGCATTTGTGGTAGATAAAATATGTATATTTACTATTTATAATAATACACAGTTAGGTCCATAAATTTTTGGACAACATCACAATTCTAACATTTTGGCTGTACACACCAACACTATGGATCTGAAACTAAACGAACAGGATGTGCTTTAACTGAAGACTGTCAGCTTTAATTTGAGAGTATTTACGTCCAAGTCAGGTAATTGCTGTAGGAATTACAACAACTTGCATATGTGCCTCCTACTTGTTAAGGAACCAAATGTAATTGGACAGAATAATAATCATAAATCTAATTTTCACTTTTTAATATTTGGTTGCAAATCCTTTGCAGTCTATTACAGTCTGGAACACAGAGACATCACTAGAAACTAGGTTTAATTCCTGGTGGTGATCTGCCAGGCCTCTACAGCAACCGTCTTCATCTTCTGCTTGTTCTCGGGTCATTTTCCCTTCAGTTTTGTTGGACTCAGGTCAGGTGATTGAGTTGGCCATTGCATAACATTACACTTCTTTCCCTTCAAAAACTCTTTGGTTGCTTTTGCAGTATGCTTTGGGTCATTCTCCAACTTCACTGTGAAGCGCCGTCCAATGATTTTGTAAGCATTTGACTTATATGAGTAGACAATATTGCCTTGAACACTAAAATACATACAATACATAAATACATACATAAATACATACAAGAAATAAATAAACACAAGAGAACCAGTTCCATTGATAGCCATACGTGCCCACACCATGTCACTACTACCACCATGCTTCACTGCTTACAATCATGAGCAGTTCTTTTTCTTCTCCATACTCTTTTCTTCTCATCAAGCTGATCTTGATCTCATCTGTCCATAGGATGTTGTTCCAGCACTGTGAGGGCTTTGACTTCGTTTACATGGACATCAGTAATCAAATTATTCGCTTTATTCTAATTGAGAATAATAAGATTAAGGTGTTTACATGAGTTGCTTTTTGAGTGTTACTTTCATGATCCTGTTTTACATGTTATAGCAATAATTCGATTAACGTCATTGCATCACCGTCCTATCGGCTTTTCTTCCGGAGTTTCATGGAATTTCGGGTGTTGCATTTTTAATTTGTTGACTTGCGTTTTGCACTTTCACTTTCATTCACAAACATTTCATGCATGCCTTATGAACTGCTGGAAGAGTGTTGTTTTAATGGAAGTACATACCACATGCTGAATACAAGAAAAAAAACCTCTCATATTACGATGCAGTTGTTTGTTGTCTGCACTGACTGAGTAGGTGCAGAGAGTGTCAATCAGCCGTGTGTGTTTCAAGCAGTGTGTGTGTGTGTGTCATACATGACGGTAGTAATTTGATTAAGATGTTTACATGTCTGTAATGCACTTTAATAATGCGACTAAAATCGGCATACTCCACACATCTTTATCCGATTTCTCTTTAGTTCGATAATGACCTTCATCTGATTAAATTAATCGAAAATCGCTGTTTAAATGGTTAACTCTTAATCAGAGTATTGTCTTAATTGCATTTAAATTTAATTATTGCTGTCCATGTTAACATAGTCTTTTAAAGAACTATAATCTGGCCTTTCCTCCTTTTGAGGCCCACCAATGGTTTACATCTTGTGATGAACCCTCTGTTATTCACTCTGGTGAAGTCTTCTCTTGATTGTTGACTCTGACACACATACACTTACCCCCTGGAGAGTGTTCTTAATCTGGCCAACTGTTGTGAAGGGTGTTTTCTTCACCAGGGAAAGAATTCTTTGGTCGTCCACCACAGTTGTTTCTGTGCTCTTTTAGGTCTTTTGGTTTTGCTGAGCTCACTGGTGTGTTCTTTCTTTTTTAAGAATGTTCCAGACAGTTGTTTTAGCCAAGTCTAATGTTTTTTTATATCTCTCTGATGGGTTTGTTTTGTTTTTTCAGTCTAAGGATGGCTTGCTTGACTGATAGTGAACGCACTTTGGATCTTGAGAGTTGACAGCAACAGATTCCAAATGCAAACAACACACTTGAAATGATCTCTGGACCTTTTATCTGCTCATTGTAATTGGTAAAATGAGGGAATATCAAACACCTGGCCATAGAACAGCTTAGAAGCCAATTGTCCAATTACTTTCGAACCCTTAACAAGTGGGAGGCACATATGCAATAACAATAACTGTTGTAATTCCTACCGCGTTCACCTGATTTGTAAGTAAATACCCTCAAATTAAAGCTGACAGTCTGCAGTTAAAGCACATCTTGTTTGTTTTATTTCAAATCCCATGTGTTGGTGTAGAGCCAAATATTTATGAATAGAATTATTTATGAATAGAATAGAATTGTCCTAATATTTATGGATCTAACTATATTTGCAATTTAGAACATTGCAAGTGTATACAATTTAAATACAGTATAAAAATTAAGTATGGATACAATTATCTGACAAAAAGATCCAGAAAAAAAAGATTAAATAAATTATTACATTTTGAAGTAAAACTTACTTTGTAATTTTGGGGAAATGTACTAAGGAATATGGTCATGAAAGTGACTTTCTCCACATTAATTTTGATAATTTTAACAGAGTAAAACAGATTTGTAATATTTATTTTTAACAGAATGTTTAGGTAACCATCAAATCTAAATAAAGTTATTTCATGTAATTTTCTTGAGGTGATTATGATTAAACAGGAAGAAAAGCTAATAGTTGTTATATGCAGATTTGCATATTCAGTTTAACACAATTAAACACACATCTTTTGCACAATAATGTGACTACACTACTGTATATGTGAGAAAATACATAACTTGCATTAAGTATCATGCCTAAAATGTACCATACCTATTATATGACTATTAAGTGGCATTTCTAATCACACCTGTTTGTGTGAGAGTAGCCGGCTCTGAAAGCGATATACACATACTGTACCTTATTAGTGGTTGTTTCTCTGGGCTGCTGTATATCATTCATCCGCCATTTTGTAAAGGTCAAAGCTAATCCATGAAGATTCATAAGCAACACACATGTATGATCATCTAGTCCTGCAATAGACTTCAAAGAACTAACACAATATTTTAAGACAAACAAATCAGCTAACACAACATTAAAAATGTACCACAGATTAAACATCCTGTAACATTAAGTTATTTCATATAAAAACACATTCATGCTCATATAAAAACACAAATCAGCTATCCCAGTTTTATCCACGTGATTAAATCTTTGTGTTTTTTGGCTACATTATTAATTTTTTTAGTTAGAGAAAATAGTTACATATTAGGTTTGTGGACATGTCTATTAGTCCAATAATCATGTCTATTGTTGCTTGTCTCTCAGGTACAGCTTCTGCGGACCCCCAAAGCTCGATTTAAGAGTTAGACCCAAACTGGGAGAGCGAGAGGTGACTTTCTGTCATGTGACTGAATGGATCGAAAAGAAGCTACAGGATGAGTTTCAGGTTCGTTATGATGACATAGCTTATTTTAATGTCTGCTTGATTTTTTTTCGACTTTATTTTTTATGAAGTTTTAATTTTAAAGGGTTAGTTCAACCTAAAAGAAAAACTTGTTAACTACATTATGCTGTTCCAATCACCTGAGGCCTTCGTTCCTCTCATGAACACAAATCAAGATATTTTAGATGAACTCAGAGAGCTCTCTTCATCCTCCATAGATAGTAAGACTAAGGTTCAAGACACCCTGGTGTACTTTTTTTTCAAAAGAAACAGATTTGTGTGTTGAGCACCAGTTAAGACAACCTGTCCGCTGTAATTGTGGGGGGAAACTGGATAATTTTGAGCTTTTGTCAGCTAATTTTATCTTCAGGGATTAAAATAATTTTTGGGGTGGGATAAAAATCGCTGACTTAACGCCGATCTGTCCAGTGATGACGTGTCAGTTTCTCATTATTATTCATAGCTGAGTTTTCTTATCCTATGAAAAGACTCTGCTTCTTAATTATTCATCAGAGCATGTGCTTTCCCTGCCAAGCCGTGAGACCCAATGACTGGGTAAGACCGCGTTCACGCACGGCACGGGTCGTATGTGTTTGTTTTTATGATCCACGTTGTTTGTTGCATGTTTTCCCCTAAAAACAGGAACCAAAAAACGTTGTCAAAACATTCCATGTGACTTCAGAGGTTCAACTTTATTTAAATGAAGCTCCATACAGAGCTTGCAAAAACAACTTTCTTCATTAGTGACTTCAGTGCAAGGGCTGTATAAAATATGGACAACGCAACAGCCCCTTTTACTATTGAATGCTTTGAAGGCAAAACGCCTCATGAAGAAGACAAACCGTCGCAAAAGACTGCTGAAATTGGAGCCTGAGCATGTGCAGAAGGACTACCTGATGGAGCCAGAGGAGGAGCTGCAGAATCAAGCTTTCAACCAAACGCTTGTACGTCAAATCAACTACACACCCGAACTGCTCACTTGACTGCCTGTATTTGCACTATAACATAAGAGTAAAAGAAAGCGTTACCATACACGATTTAAAAACTGTGTAATGTGAGCTGTTATAATTTAATAAAAGCAATACGTGTTTGACTGCAGAAATAAACAAATAAACGGGAAGAAATAACACTTGTAAAATATGAACAATAACATAATCAACACATACATATTTAGAAAGGTTTTTATTTTTAATTAGCAATCAACAGAAATCAAAACTTAGCCTACACACCATAAATAACAATTCACCATGCTGGAACAATCGTGCGCTTAAAAGATAAACACGGCAAGATTATAAAATATCAACAGGATATTTACACATCCCATCCCTGCACTATATCAAATAATCTTCGTCAATTTGTACAATAAACTTCGAAGTATTAATACATCAACTGATGTCTATAAGCTGTTGCAACATCGCTTGTATATTGTCTATAATTTTTTGCCTACGTTTTTATCTGGCATCGGCCTTCATTATATCTGGCAAAGAGGAATTTACATTCATTTAAATGTTTATTAGGAGTTTTCAAATAAAAAGCCAACAGTAAATGAAGTATATAAATAATATATAACATTGCATAACATTTTACTATTTTTTTTTCAAGATTCGGTTTCTAGAACATTAATATTGTATAACAGTAAGTTTACAAGATTAACTCAAAAACATGTCGAAACTCAAAAGGCAGAGACTTCCTTTAAATCTACTTCAAATAACCTTACAGGAGATCAATGTAGGTGTCGGCTAACTTTAGTTTTGTCTTTCTAATTATTATTTCAGACCCGTAAAGAGAATTAGTGCTAGATAACGATCACCTGTATTTCCCCCGTCATGGTTAGGCGTGTATTAGCAAACTAAAAGCCCAATAAAGCCCTGACCTTACCGAATAAATAGAAAGTATAGTTTACTGCTGAACAACTCAACTTATCATGGTAAAATAACACAGAAATGGAATAATAGATTTTTTTTTTGGGCTCAAGTCTCATTCATTAACACAGAGAAGGTGGGCCGAGACCTTCACTCAAAAGCAGGCGTGCAGCCCATTTGCTTCTGTATCAGATCAGGATGCAAGTTTATTACGGGCATATGAACTGCTGTCTATGGAAGATGAGAGAGCTCTCTGATTTCATCTAAAAAGATTAAATGTGTTTGGAAAATGAATGAAGCTTTTGCAGGACATAAATGACATGAGAGTGAGTAATCAACACAACTTATGTTTTTAAGGTGAACTAACCCTTTAATTTATTTGTAAATACAATTTTATAAATAAATGTATTCTTTTTTTATTTCTTATTGATTTACTGTTTTGAAATATGGTAATCTAAAGTAGCACGTATATATTTTTTACACCAGTATATTTCTGTTATTATTATTATTTTTTATTTGGGTACACAATGAAATATATACTTCAATTGATTTAAATGAAAATTGCTGGAATTAGCCCCATAACAAATCTTCTCAAATATCCTGCTTTTTTATAGAATGTTTTTGTGTTGCCCAACATGGATGATATTTATCTGCCACTAATGCACTCTGGGATGGACAACCCACCACTTGCTCAACACCCTGCAAAGCTCTCTCAGAATTCCTCAATGGCCTCAACCGACAGGAGTGATCTGGAACATTGTGCAGAATTACAGTAGTGCCTCCCTGTGGACAGACATGACAGTGCAGAAGTATCAGAACTGGCTTATTTAACTTCAGCAAACTCAAAGCAGCATAACTTACCTTAGACAAAATGTGTGAGTAGCAAAGTGTATAATTTTCTCTCCCAAAGCAACCAATACAAGGTATGATTTCCGTCAAATATTCCCATTTCCAAGACACTGAAGTTAGTTGTTGTCATCATACCGGTGGCTTAATTTGTGAATAATCCATTTTGCTACTTTATTGAATATATATGACAACTGATTGTGTGTTAGAACATCAGCAATATCTTAAAATAAACAAATAAGCATTAGTAATAAATAATTTATTTATATTTAATAATTTATATTTAGAATGAAATACAAATCTTTTTTTGAAAAAGTCTTACATGTTCCAAAGGCTTTTGCTTTTTACATCATAAATTATAAAATATCAGACATTTTTTGTACAATTTCACATTTTCGTGTCAAGTATCACTTCAAGATTGTAATATCTGAACGTAAGCTGGCATTTGAATGTTACAGTAATATTCTTTATATGTATGCATTAGCAAAGAATATCTTTTGGTTTATCGTCAAGTTCTGATCAGACAATAAACTTGTAATATCGATGTGATGTGTTGATCTTAAAAGGATAGTTCGACAAAATATTTGAAAATCATAATGTTTCATACTCCATAGCTGTACGACTGTATTGGTGCATTCCATTTGCAATCAGAAATCAGAAATTCTGAGTTTCCAGTAGATATTTGTAAAACCCAAATGTTGGAAGTCAGAAACAAACATGGCTGCATAGTAAATGAACAAGTGAAACAGTCATAATATATATTGTCACTGTTTTTTCTTCCTCTTAGCATTTCTGTTGATCTGTCTCAAACTCAGTGGTGCACACTCTCTCAGAAATAAAGGTACGCGATCTGTGACTGGGGTGGTACCTTTTCGAAAGGTACAATTTTGTACCTAAAAGGTCCTTCAAGAGTTCACACTTAGCTGATGATTTACAAAGCTTATTTGGCATGCTGTCCCGGGAGAGAGCCCCGAGCTCAAGGGCTCCTCGAGCCCGGGGCTTCCTCCCGTTGGCAGAGCAAGAAGGGAGCCTGAGCTCGGTGGATCTCAGAACTCCCCTGCCGCTGTAGCTAAGGGAACGTAAGGAATTAGACCAGCTTGATTGTTAAGTATGTTGAATGTCTTTGGATGGTGGGAGGAAACCGGAGAGCCCGGGGAAAACCCACGCGGACACGGGAAGGACATACAAACTCCCCACAGAAACACTCACCGGTCCTATCGAACTAGGACCGGCAGTATTCTTGCTGTGTGGTTCACAGTGCTAACCACTGGACCGCCGTGCCGCCCAATTACAGGTAAAGGAGGAGAATAGGGGAGGAGGGGGGTTTCTTCCAAACGAAGATAAAGTGAACTGAAAACTTAGACTATTTATGGTGCCTTAGGGCTCATATGATTGGAAGATTAGTGATTAGCAAATGCGAGACTGGACGTGATAAATCATAAGCACGTGATCCTCTCGAAATTAGTTTATGAATAAACTTCACTTCAAGAGTTCACACTTAGCTGATGATTTACAAAGCTTATTTGGCATGCTGTCCCGGGAGAGAGCCCCGAGCTCAAGGGCTCCTCGAGCCCGGGGCTTCCTCCCGTTGGCAGAGCAAGAAGGGAGCCTGAGCTCGGTGGATCTCAGAACTCCCCAAAATGCAGAAATTAATCGCTCGGGACAGCAGCCGCGTATTCGAAGAAAAAACCCCCCAAAAGGCAGGAAATTTAGAGCTATATCCGGCTGCTGGATATAATAGAAGGAAAGAGGTTAAATGCATGGGCATTAATTAGATAGGATTAATAAGGGTGAAAAGAGGATTCTGATAACTCTTGCTGGAGTTAGAGTTTGAAGGAACCCCTGCGGGGTTCATGGTTTTCGGGGTTAAGAAGAAGGGGAGAATAGGTGGTTTGAAGCAGTGGAAAGAGAACTTTGAGTGAATCTTGTGGGAGTTGGAGCTCTAAGTGACCCCTGCGGGGGCCAGAGTAGAGTGAAGGTATGGAGCAGAGAGTGGAGGAGAGTAGCTCTTACGAAAGATGGAGCTTTGTGAGAGTTTGAGTTTAGAGCGGCCTCTGCAGAGGTTAGAGCTTGAGGGTAGGGTGTAGATAGGAGTGACCTCTGCGGAGGTTAGAGCTTGAGGGTAGGGTGTAGATAGGAGCGACCTCTGCGGAGGTTTGAGCTTGAAGGTAGGGTGTAGATAGGAGTGACCTCTGCGGAGGTTTGAGCTTGAAGGTAGGGTGTAGATAGGAGTGACCTCTGCGGAGGTTTGAGCTTGAAGGTAGGGTGTATATAGGAGTGACCTCTGCGGAGGTTTGAGCTTGAGGGTAGGGTGTAGATAGGAGTGACCTCTGCGGAGGTTAGAGCTTGAGGGTAGGGTGTAGATAGGAGCGACCTCTGCGGAGGTTTGAGCTTGAAGGTAGGGTGTAGATAGGAGTGACCTCTGCGGAGGTTTGAGCTTGAGGGTAGGGTGTAGATAGGAGCGACCTCTGCGGAGGTTTGAGCTTGAAGGTAGGGTGTAGATAGGAGTGACCTCTGCGGAGGTTTGAGCTTGAGGGTAGGGTGTAGATAGGAGTGACCTCTGCGGAGGTTTGAGCTTGAGGGTAGAGTGTAGATAGGAGTGACCTCTGCGGAGGTTTGAGCTTGAGGGTAGAGTGTAGCTAGGAGCGACCTCTGCGGAGGTTTGAGCTTGAAGGTAGGGTGTAGATAGGAGTGACCTCTGCGGAGGTTTGAGCTTGAGGGTAGGGTGTAGATAGGAGTGACCTCTGCGGAGGTTTGAGCTTGAGGGTAGGGTGTAGATAGGAGTGACCTCTGCGGAGGTTTGAGCTTGAGGGTAGAGTGTAGCTGGGAGGAGCAATGAGTGGAAGAGAGTAACTCTTGCGAGAGTTGGAGCTTGAAGCGACCTCTGTGGAGGTCAGAGCTTGGGGGTAGAGTGTAGATAGGGGGAGATAGGTAGCAGTGAGTGGAAGAGAGTAACTCTTGTGAGAGTTGGAGCTCTGAGCGACCTTTGTGGAGGTCAGAGCTTGAGGGTAGATTGCGGATAGGAGGAGATAGATATCAGTGAGTGGGAAAGAGGATTTGGATAACTCTTGCGAGAGATTGGGGCTCGGAGCGACCCCTGTGGGGGTCAGAGCTAGAGGGTGAGTCATAAGGAGAAGAGAGGTAGTTGAAGTAGAGTGAAGAAGTTTTAGCTTGAGCAGACCCCTGCGGGGTTTGGAGCTTGGAGAAAGAGTCTAGGCGGAAAAAGAATAGGTAACATCGTGAAGAAGAAAGGACTGTGGCCGCTATGGCCGAATCCTGCGAGAGTTGGAGCTCAAGGGGGCCCCTTCGGGTGTCTGAAGAGTCTAGACAGGAGAAACAAGATCATTAGAGGTAGAGTGTAAAATAGATTAGTTGGGAGTGGAGTGTAGAGAAGAAAGGAACGAGAGGCTGAAAAGTAGGGTTATAAGGATAAAAGATTTGGAAAAGTTGGAAGAAGGGAACAAGCACAAATATAATACATATGTACAAACGCAGTAAATGCGCAAAGAACATGTGGATACAAACGTCTGCATCTGTAAATAGCTATTGGTGATTGCAGAAGATGCTAACTGCAATGGCCCTTGAGGGAGTCCTTGGCAAACATGTAAGGGTGCCATGGGTGGACAATTGGGCTTCTGCGGGGTTTGGTTTGGATGACTCTTGCGAGAGTCGAGGCTCTGTTAGACACCTTTTTGAGTTGGAGCCGTGTGAGGAGGTGCTTGGGGGTTGGTTAAAGCCTGTTGGGCTTTCTTGAGGTGGTATTTACTGAGACGTATATAAGATTTGAAAACTTCAGAAGACCAGCGACCAAGGGTCTGGATCTGATGGTGTGAGAGCCCGTTGTAGTGGCTGCGCCAATCCTGAATGAGTGGCTGGAAAAGGGCTCTGGGAAAAAACCTGATAGGCGAAAGATTTCTTTAAGGTGTTTTTGAAACCAGAATCGAGATACTGGACGGTTAGCGTCATCAGTAAAAAGCGGGGCCAGTGGGTTAGCCTCTTGAGATTTTCTAGGCTAAGAGGGTTTGAAATGGGCGTGTAGGTGAAGGAATATTGAAAATGAGGATAGAGTGTCCTCTCTGGAATTAATCTGTTTTGCTTTGTTTGATAAGGAAAGAGATAGTTTCCCTGTCTTGCAAAGCTAGATCTGAGATGGTGGGGTGGAGTAGAGGGTTAAATTTGGATGTAACTGTTAATTCAGAACATTTAAGAAACCCCCCAAAAAAATGCTAGATTGAACATAGCATCTAAGGTGCGGGCTGTATGGGAGGAAATGTAACCTTTACAGAGGGTGTAGATGCATGAGGTAAGGATTTTGAGTGTAATGGGTTGTCTAGCATGGTATGGAATTGTTTGAACGAATTCCATGCTGTGAGGTATGCATTGAGGGTTCTGGGAGCTATTGCTTGTAGGATAAGAGATAGAGAAGTTTGATGAAGATTATGAAGTGGGTGGTTTATGGAAATATCGTTACTGAATAAGGAGGGACCGGCGTTGGGTGAGGGTCTGCTTCCGGGGCTAGTTGCCAGAATATCTGCAAAGAGAAATGAGAGAGAGAGTCAGCGATTTGGTTTTTGCAACCAGGTACATGTTCAGCAATCATGATAAATTGTTTTTTAGCAGATATCCAGATAAGGTGTCTTAAAAATGGCATAAGCGATTGGGAGTGGGAGCGCCCTTTGTTAATGCAATGCACTGTAGCTTCGTTATCGCAGTGAAAGAGAATGCTAGATGTAGACCATTCGTCCCCCCACAGGATGGCTGCTGCGATGATAGGGTAGAATTTGAAGAGGGCTGAAAAACATTGGTCTTTGGAATGGAATTACAATTGGGTTGGCCATGTTGAGACAAACCAGTGTCCTTTATATTAGCCACTGTAACCTATTGGAGGGGCAGCGTCTGTGTATGTGTTGATGTCAATAGGGGATGCAATCAAGTCGCTGTAGAAAAAGGAACAGCCGTTCCATTGCTTAAGGAAAGAGATCCATAAGCGAAGTTCATCGCGACTGGGTTTGGAGAGAAAAATTGTTTCTTCTAAACCATGAACTGTGGTGGATAATTGAAGGAGGTGGGAAATGAAAGGAATAATGCGCATAGCGAAATTTAGATGGCCGAGAATTGGTAGGAGTTCTCGTTGTGTGCACATCTGTTTTTCAAGGAAAATTTGGGATAGAGAAATTATTCGATTGATTTTCTCTTTAGGAAGGGATGCTTGGAATTTATGCGAGTCTAGATTAATACCCAGAAATTCGATTGAAGTACTGGGTCCTTCCGAGATCAGCGAAAACCTGCTGGGTGATCGCTAGGTGTTTGGCTAGAGGAGATGACGGGGGGGAAATAAGAAAATCGTCTAGAAGGTGAATGAGGTATGGTATTTCGTAAATATTAGACAGAATCCAGCATAAAGCTTCTGACATCATGTCAAATATTTTTTGGGCTGCTTTTGCATCCGAAAAATAGAATTGATTTCGCCAATAAATGCCAAAAGGTGCCAGAAGTCTGGGTGGATTGGCATGATTTTAAAGGTAGGGGAAATGTCTTCTTTGGCTAGCCAGGTGTTACGACTGGCTATCTTTATGAGAGAGATCTCTTGATCAATGTCGTGGTAGTTAAGTAAATATTCGTCCAATGGGATAGTGCTGTTAATGCTAGGAAAGGAGCAATTGTGTTGGGACGAAAGGTCGACTACAAGGCGTTTTTGCCAGAACATTTTTGAGTAGCGACACCAATGGGGCTAATGCGCGAGATATTAAAAGGAGGAGCCTTGGAGTTCCAATCATGAAGTTGTTGTCGATTTCTTTTTAATAAGATAATCGACGGTTTCAGGTTCGGAGGTTGCAGACTGCGGTTAGGACAGATTGGATAAAGTGAAAAATGGAATGTATCCTTTGTGAAGAGGATGTGGAGTGTAATAGGTTGGATGAGGGTCAGCTTCTGGAGCCAGCAGTCATGATCTCTAAAATAGAAAAAACAAAGAGAATCAGAAATTAAATCTTTGCAAAATAATACAAGTATGGCAGACATGAAAATTGTTTTAGTTTATATCCATGCGAGGCATCTTAATAAGGGCATGGGCGGCTGTAAATGGAAGCGCTTTTGATAATGCATGGTCCGATGACTTCATTGATACGATGTGCAAGGATGGTAGGGGTGGGTGTTCGTCTCCTAACGGGATGACAGATGAATGGAGAGCTGAGGACATGGGATATGGCTAGTCTGGTGGTCCTGGAAAACTGGTACCCCTTGAAGACTGAGCATGTGAAGTGATAGTGAAGTTTAAATTTGTATTTATAACAGTCAAGTGGGAAGTTTGTTTCTTTGCCGTTTTCACATCCGACTGACTTGCTATATAATCTTATATGACGCTTGTAAATCAACACATGAGTCGCTGGCGTATTACAATTGGACTTCTGTGCTTGATGGCATAATGTTTTTCAATAGCTTGTTAATATTTACTGGTTGGGTAATAATCTTTTCAGAAGTTAAATGTCAAATGGAATTTTATTTTTATTTTTTATTTTATTATTATTATTATTTTTTTTTTTTATTTTTATTTTTTTTATTTTATTTATTTATTTATTTATTTATTTATTTATTAACTAAATTTACAAGCGTGTCTGGCCTATTCATTCATAAGGTCTTTGCAACAGAGTCAAGAGAGAGGGCGGGACCATCTCCAGTCTTTTAGCTCATTGGATGGAGACGCTTATCTTTACAGCTATTGGCTTAAGGAGTTTCAGTCAGGCCATGCAAAAGGTGCAAAAAGCCTGGCGGCCATTTTGTTGATCAAATTCAACATTGTTTGTGGCTGGAGCTGCTGCTCTGCTGAACACATTCCAGCAAACAATCTGTTAAACGATGGATAGCATGTGTACTGCTAGGAGAAGGTGAGGGTTCCGTTTAATTGCAATAGCTTTGGAGTTTGGCTTATATCTTGCTGGGAAATAAGGTTGAAGACACAGCAGATGCGTTGTGGAGGCTCTTTGAAGTGGAAGGTTTTGGTGTTGTTGTTTAAGCTGTTGATGAAATTGTTGGAGTTGTAGTTGTTTGAAATGGTAGCAATAGTAGTTGTTGTTGTTGTTGCTGTAGCTTGTATATTGTAGCTTGAAGCTTTTAGATTGTATATTGTAGATTGTAGCTTGAAGCTTTTGTAGCTTGTAGCACTTGTAGCTTTTGTAGTTGATGAGCAGAGCAGAGCGTTCTTCCAAATGAAGATCCTGAAGATTGTAGCTTGTTGCTGCTTTAGTTGTCCATGCTGGTTTAGAGTTGGTTCTTCAACGGAGCTAGCTACGGTGAAGCTGCTTCTTCCAAACGAAGATAAAGTGAACTGAAAACTTAGACTATTTATGGTGCCTTAGGGCTCATATGATTGGAAGATTAGTGATTAGCAAATGCGAGACTGGACGTGATAAATCATAAGCACGTGATCCTCTCGAAATTAGTTTATGAATAAACTTCACATATTAATTCCTCAAGGGTACATATTAGTACCTAAAAAGTACAAAAGTGTTCCTCTTAAAATGTTTAGGTACTATCATATACTTTTGAGGTACCAATATAGACCCTTAAGGTACAATTGTGTACCTTTTGAAAATATACCACCCCAGCGACAGCTTGCTTACCTTTATTTCTGAGAGTGCACAGTACTATCCAACCTCTATCTGTGGATATTTCTGCACTATCTATGCAACATTTCCCATTTTAAATCGATTTTTTCTATAGCTTTTATCTCTATGTTATCACTAGGACCAGACGGAATCTGCAGACGTTTTTTGTTATTTCTGCAGAGAATTTTGGAACAAATTTTGGGAGTATCATAACTAAAACCTTAATATGTGAAAACATAATATCTTTTAAACTTTTATTTAATGTTTAAAATGCAAATCCCAATTAGATCCACTTTATTTGGTAAACAAAGCAAGTCTCGCATATAATATCTCTACTTAAAGACAGAAAATATTACTGTACAAACTGCATTGTACATAAATCACAGATGAACATTTTCATTTTAATCAACAATATTACTGAAATTAATTTAAAAACTGAATAAATATAAATTTACACACATTTACTCAAGTAAATAAACAGTATCAGTGATGGGCTAAATATCTGCGGAAATCTGTGAGCGCAGATTTTGTGTGGGCCTAGTTATCACGAATTATACAAATGTCCATCTTGGTGCTCTGACTATTGTAATGAAATTCAGTAAACTCCTATGTGACATTTAAATTTTTTTATATAAATGGAACACAGCATAAGTTCCTTTTGATCAGTGGGGTCTAGTGTTATTTTCAACCCCACTGAGTTAGAGGCCACATTGTAAAAGTTTCACTTGGTTAAACCTACAAACTCAAGTTCACCAGCTGCCTTGAAAATGTGAGTCAACTCAACTTAGAGAGATTCTTTACTTCAACTTAAGATGTTAAGTTTCAAGGTGGTGTAGTGGTTAGCATGATCGCCTCACAACTAGAAAGTCGATGGTTTGAGCCCCGGCTGGGTTAGTTGGTATTACTTTGTCGAGTTTGCATGTTCTCCCCGTATTCGTGTGGGTTTCCTCTGGGTGCTCCAGTTTCTCCCACAGTCCAAAGACCTGCGCTACAGGTGAACTGAATAAGCAAAATTGGTGGTAATGTTTGTGTGTGAATGCGAGAAAGTTTCCCAGTGTTGGGTTGCAGCTGGAAGGGCATCCGCTGCATAAAACATATGCAGAATAAGTTGGCAGTCTGCTGTGATAACCCCTGATTAATAAAGGGATTAAGCCGAAAAGAAAATGAATGAATGAATGTTGAGATTCACAATATATTTAACTAAAACTCAACATCTTTAGTTGAAACAAAGAAGTTGAGTTGACTCACATTTTTAAGGCAGCTGGTGAAGTTGAGTTTGTAAGTTTAACCATTTTCAGCCAAATATGGAAATTTTTCATATGCTTTGGCAGTTTGGTTACACGTCAATGTCCTTTTTTGGCACAATAAGTGAATTAATTTTAAAACAGGTTTCAAAGTGGAAGTTTTTCAAAAACAATAGCACCATGTGTCTGTGTAAACACCAAAAAACTAAAGTCTTTGAAAATTTTTGTATCATGTGCATGCATGATATGTTTTTAGGGGGGTTTTAAAGGCAGGCTCGAACAAACACGTATTAATGATGAAGTATGTAGTAGTGTTGTTGCTTTAGTGTTCCTAAAGCTTCATCTGCAAAGTGTGTATTTACTTCACACACACATCAAATTATTGACCTTATTCAGCAATGCGGAAGTAAGCGCTTTTGTGAGTTTGGTTTTAGAACTAGTGGTTCATTTGCAGTCCAAACTACTTGCTCTACAAACAAGTTTATGAGTATATATAAAAATAAAAAAACAATATGATCTAAAAAAAAATAATAATAAACTAGCTTGCAACATTGAGCATAACAAGCTGTTTTTATGACAAAAAATTAACAGAAGCTAATGAGATTGGGGCGACGCAGTGGTGCAGTAGATAGTGCCACACAGCAAGAAGGTCGCTGGTTTAAGCCTCTGGGTCAGTTGCCGTTTCTGTGTGGAGTTTGCATGTTCTCCCTGTGTTCGTGTGGGTTTCCTCCGGCAGCTCCGGTTCCCCCCACAGTCCAAAGACATTGGGTACAGGTGAATGAGGGCTAAATTGTCCATAGTGTATGTGTGTGACTAAGTATGTATCTATGTTTCCCAGATATGGGTTGCAGCTGGAAGGGCATCTGCTGCGTAAAACATGTGCTAGATTAGTTGGCGGTTCATTCCGCTGTGGCAACCCCGGATTAATGAAGGGACTAGGCCGAAAAAAAATGAATGAATGAATAATCAAACTGGAAGTCTAAGGTAACAATGGCTGCGCACACTCATACGTGAAATGAAAAAGGTCACATTCCCTACAGGTACTGTTTACTAACAAGGTCAAAGTGAACCATAGACTGGCCTGGCATATGTCATGCAGAACGTTTTGAAAATGTTGTCATGTAGATGTAAAACTATAGGGGAAAACGTTTCCATTTTTCTCTATGTCATTATCATAGTAACATAGCCTTACATTACATCGATTCAAAGTCTATGGGAGTTTTCCAGCACTAAGGATTGTACACTGTACATGTAAAGCATGCCAGAGTAATGTGCGGTTCATTCCGCTGTGGCAACCCCTGAAAAACCAGAGAATAAGCAAAAACAAAATTGAGTGAGCGAATGAGAGAGTGGGAGTCATACAGGTTTGGACTGACATTACTATGAGTAAACATTATTGCGTGAACTATCCTTTAAGATCATTCTAATAGTGCAAAGACACATTTAATCATAAAATGTGCACACATAAAACAACTCACTTTTGATTGTTGGAATTCTGGACCCTTTTGAAACTATATAAATCGAATTCTTGAATTGTAAGTGTGTCTGTGTCTGCTGCTGCTTGGACTAGCATCTGTCCATGCACTGGTTCCCTCGCCTGCTTCTGTTTCCAGATCTCCGACCTCCAGGCTCTCACACATCAGGTTAATCTGCCTCTTTATTTGGGCCATGCGGCTCTGCATGCGCTGCATCTTCCTGCGCAGGTTGGCTGCGATGGCTCTCTGCTTCCGACGCTCAGCTAAGTAGCGTTGCTGCAGCTCTCTGTAGCAGTTGTGTTGGGTCTGGTTTTCTCGGACGAGCAGCGTCCCGCAGCCCATGGGACACAGCTGTCTCCAGTGAGTGCAGCTCTGATCATGCGCCTGTACGTCCTTCCTCAACACCTGCTGCCCGCAGCCCTCATGAGGACAAATCTGCCACTCATAAGGACAGGTGGAGATGTGGAGGTACTCGTTAGAAAGCGGGAAAGTCGCCCTGCAGCCCTGCTGTCCATTTCGACACTAAAAGCAGACACACAGTGACATTTCAGGCTCATATTTTGCTGACATTATTTTTAGGGTCCCTTTAGACATTTTTGACTCCAAGTAACTGCTAATGTCAAGTAGCAATCATCGGAGGGTTAGTATGTCTGCTAAATATCTGCTCACATTTTTATTGTCCCACAACCGACAATCTAGTAATTATAAGTAACCTTTAAGGTTTCAGATAGCACCTCTAGCCACGTTTCCACTGTATGACATTACCAACACAATCTCACGGCAATTCGTAACTTTTTCATTTAGTGGCTAATTCGTACAAATTCGTACGATCTAATTCGTACATTTTTTGTACGATTTGCGTATCCCCCAATGACGGTTGGGTTTAGGGGTGGGGTTAGGTGCCACGCCTCCTTTTTAAAATCTTACATTTTCTTACGACTGAACTCGTACGAATTCTTTCGAATTAGCCACTAAACTGCCAAAACGTAAAATACTTACGTTTTCTCGTGAGATCAGGCTGACATTACAGTTCATTTTCATTTGAGTTTAGTACCACTTAAAGTTTAAACTTTTTCATTACAGGTCACCTTATTCAGTACTCACTGGATCCATTTGTTGGTAACCAACAAGAGGAAAGTCTAATCATCCACGGTGCTGCTATTTCCGGTGTTTTTATCTTTTTGTGGTACAAAAACCTTTCAGTTGTGCAAACTAACAATACAACAGTGGCTGCTGCTGACTATATAAAGTGGTTTGATGTGTGTAAACATCACGTCATGATTTTGCCAAGTACAATGCAATCCTGGATTAACATCTATGTTGATCCTGGAATATAATTTTGGTTCGAAAATGTAATCCATACCTATACCCTACCCCTAAATCCAACCATGGCTGTAAATTATTTCCATAATCAAAGGGAAATTAAAGTTGGATAACAATCATGTAAAAGTACATAATCCAAACTGTAAGCCTAAACTCAACATAAATGGTAAACATATCCCTTAATTCTGATTGGCAGATTGGAATGTTGTTCAAGGATCAACACAGATGTTAATCCAGTATCATGCCCTACTTGGTCAAATCAGGATGGCGGTGTATACATCATGCTTTTGTAATGGTAGATCTTGCTTGAAAACTCACCCACTGTCTTACTAAAAAAAAGGACCAGGCAAAAGTCCCCCAAATGTAAGTGAACTGACCCTAGCTGTATCATACAGTCTAAAAGCTCATTTAGTCAAATGGTGCTCTTCAGAGCTATAACAGTGTTTAAGAGTCTCTCCATTTTACATGGTTAGATGGGAATTAATGAATCACTTTTATGCTTTTCTAAAGAAAAAATGTTTTGTGGGGTCACTGAAATATTTCCTTAAAAGGGGGCTTGGAGCAAAAAGGTTGAGAATACATTTTCTTTTGGAAGCACTATATAATTTAATGTTGCCTTTAAATCCTTTCCCCCGCTACACTAAGAGACTAAGCCCAGCTCAGACTGTGTTTTCATCCACAATTTGGTGGCCCAAAGCCCTGCACACACTGGGATTTCAGTCAGATTTTGGTCACCTGAGACAAATTTAGCAAAATCCTAAAAGATTGATATAATCTTAGGCTTAAATCATTAGTTTGACATGTTCACCAACAGCTGATTAATGGCTGTAGTGATCAGATTTTTCCCCTATGATGATGTTCTGATAGAGTCAGATCTTACAACTAGCATCGAACCAAGAACTAACAGGAGTGCTGAACTTAATAACGCAATAAGCGTGATAACTTCAATCCACTGAAATGTTAAAAAAGCTCTTTTTCTGCTCTTAATATTAAAGCATGTTACGAGAAAAAATAATTTAGCATTGTTTACTGTTGAGGTTTTTGTGAGGTATGATTTTAGAATGTGGATTAACGTGTCACAGATGGATGATGTCAAACTCTGAATGAGATTTTGTTTATGTGTCTTTTTTATTGTCTTCACTGTCATATCGTCTGGCAATGCAAAAACTGGTATTTAGCCATTGATATGGGTAACATCTATTCAGTATCACAAGCTACAATTGTAAAGGGATAATAAAAATTGCACAGTGTGAGGCCGGATTGAGAGAAATAGAAAACATATAAAGAACTATACGAAGAGTCTGTATAGTTCTTAATATGTTTCTATTTCTCTAAATCCTGGCTTCTTGTGGGTTCTTTAACAGTGGTTCTATACAACACCTTAATCGCCCCAAAGAACCAATAAAGAACTGTACTGGGTTAAACAGTTTTTTGAATATACATTAAGGACACTAAATACCTCAATTACCTAAAAAGGGTGTCAAACTCAATTCCTGGGGGCCGCTAGTTCCAGCCCTGCTTCAACACATCTACCTGTAGGTATCAAACAAGCCTACAGCAGTCAATTTGTTTAATCAGGTCTTTTTAATTAGGGTTGAACTAAACTGTGCAGAGCTGTGGCCCTCCAGGAACTGAGTTTGGCCCCGTTTACACTGTCAGGTCTTGATGCCCAATTCCGATTTGTTGACTATATCTGATTTTTTTTGTCTGCCCGTTTACACATTATTTCAATTGTGACTCATATCCAATTCATGCGTTTACACTTGCCATGCAATTTACGATGTCGCACATGCGTAAAGGCAGGTTCTAGCATCTGCCACACTAGCCACAATGGAAGAAATTGTCTTGTTTTTAGCTCTGCTAAATATGCAAAGTGTAGTATAAGCAGTAAATGATTTAGTTCAGATTTACCCCTAAGCAGTTTATGTAATGGTATGGCCCTGATGTGTGTGTGTATTTGTGTGTGCAGTTGAAGATGTAGCCTTTGCCTGTGTGCGCACTGGTGTTGGAGAGAATTAAGTTCTATGTGTAGCTCGCAGTGGCACTAGAAAGTGGCAACTCAAGCACTAGAAAGATTTAGCATCATCCATAGTCTGAACAATAAAATAAGAATAACTTGTACTTTGTACTTCTGTCAATACAGTTGCGGATATATTTCAGTCACCCTCACATAAGCATTCAACAGACATCTGCCGTTTTCAGTGGTTTGTTTTTGTTACTGTTACTGTTACTGTTTCATTTTCAGTTTCTTTTCCAACTGATTGACTAAACAGCATTTCCCCTGCGGTAGGCAAACTAACTTATGCAAAAAATGAGTTCATGAGTGATTTGCGCATACATTGTACAATCTTACAAATGTCAAGGTGCGTGTGTACTGAATTAAAGATGAAATCTGCGTCATGAGCACTGTACATGTAGCATAGTGTACACATAAAGGCCAAGTTATGCATTTACTTCTCTGTACATGCACTGGTTTACTTTTGGAACCCTTCCATAAATGTATCTGTTACTCACACAAGTGCTTTGAATTGATTTTACTACTTAGTTTATTCACAACCTTTGTGCTTGGATTATTTACTGTTGGTTATTAGGTTACCAATACTACAGTCAGTCTCTCTAAAAACTTAATGAAAAAAAACTAATTTACATTTAAGTATTTTATTAAAAAAACTTTGAACTCTGAAAAACATTCACTTTACGTTCCTGGCCAATCAAAAAGTTTGCAGACAATGGGCTCTATTTTGACGATCCAATGCGCAAAGTGCACAGCACAGGGCACAAGCGCATTAAGGGCATGTTAGAATCCACTTTTGCTACTATAAGGACGGAAAATCCCCTTTGTGCCATGGTGCATGGTCTTACAGGGTTGAGCTTATTCTCTTAATGAGTTATACTGTAGGTGTGTTTAAAAAAATAAACCAATTAGAGTTTCCCATTCCCTTTAAGTCAGTTGCGTCACACTATGACGCATTTGCAATTTACATGGCAGACTTTGTAAGTGGAAAAACTGAACATTTCACTAGAGAGAAAACAGTTAAACAGAGCATCTACAGGCAAGAATGACAGACAAGCCTCCTCATTATTTAGTTTCACTTTCACTCTGGTGTATAGGGAAACGTGTTGTATGCACAGACGTCAATTATCCTATACACAATTAATTTAGTTTGTTAAGCGCAAAGTTTTGTTTAAAAACTATTTCTAAATTAATATCTAATTTTCATCAAACGAATAAATGAACAGTAATAACTAAGTCTGGTCAAAAAACTATCCAAATACACATACTATGTCCCATATGGTCTAAAACCTGACTGGTGGGCAAATCTAAGCTTGTTTTTAATAAAACAAATATAAATACACATGTAATAAATAATACTACTAATAATAATAACATTATACAAAAGCAAATTGGTATGAATAAACTAAAAAAAAGCCCCAACGCCCCACACCACCGAGATGAAGAAGGCATGAAAGTATGGTTTTTATATTTATATAGGCTAGAAAATAATATTTTTTTGTAATATTTTAATCCTTCAATTCTTTTTCATTTGTAATTTGCATATTGCTGTACATTCTGTGTGTATTAAGCAATGTGTAATAGAGGCACACAACTGACGCGCTCTGCGCTGGACTATAGAGCTGATTTCATCTGGTCTATTGAACAATCTAATATAGTTTTTCAAAATAGCATTGCGCCAGTAATGCGCCTTAACACGCCTTCTTTTTTAGAACAGAATGCCTATGGATGCACATATGAGCGCAAATGCATTTGCTATTTACACAGCGTGGCGCAAAATGTCAAAACAACTCTTGCATCAAGCTCGAACTAGCAAACAACAATTGCGTTGAAAAAATATTATTTTTGAAGCGTCCAACATCCAGTTTCTCTGCTGTATTGTTTTTAAATAGAGGAAAGATTTTACAAGTAACTTTTATTCTTATTCTTGAAACAAAAAAATGACCAGCAAAAAAAGTGTGAAGCATCAAAGCACCATATTAAAATTTATTTGAATACTAATTTGGCTATTGTTGTTATTCATGAATTTTCAGTCAAATGTAAAGTTTTACAAGAGGCGCTAGACAAATCATGAAGCTCTTTTATTATTATTAGGTTTTCATTTTTTATTATTCAAATATTCAAATTCTGATTGAGGAGAGTGAGTGTGTTGGCCAGTTTGTTATTTGCCTTAAAAAATGACAATCGGCTACAATTTAATATAAAATTACAGATTCCTAATTTTTTTCTAGTGATATATAATGTAATAAATTTGTATTTTAAATAAGTATTTATTATTTTCTTTAGGAAATATGTTGGTACATCAAACAGTGTGGTTATGATGACCATCCGACAAGCTAATCCAGCTGCAAATAGTGCTTAAAATGTCACTAAAATTCTGTATTTAAATCTCACAAATAAATAGAACATGACGCGAATAACTGCAAAATGTCCACCTTTTAAGAAAAAAAGAACCACCCCTTACACCAGGCTGGCTACGGGCCTGTATACCCGTAAAAAAACAACAACAAAAATCAAACCAATACCCTATGAGAATCGAATGTTAGTTAGTTGATATGTACAAGCATATGCATATATTCACCAGATTATCTAAAGTGGGCTATAAAAATAAAGTACATCCCACACTTTCAGCCATATATGAGTATGTGGCCTACCTTCACTGATAAACGGCCAATGGATTTGCTCAGCTTAAACAAAACCAGCATTTGGTTCTGGTCGATTGACTGCCTACAGCATGGGCATTTCACCTGTCTGAAATAAACAGAAAAAAAAAAACACACTATGGAAGTCTATGTTTACAGGTTACCAGCTTTCTTTAAATATACTATATATTCTTTTGTGCCTCATGGTACAACGACATGCAAACAAGTGTGGAAAAAGTTCATCACAGTTTCAATTTTCAGTTTCAAATTTTGGGTGAACTATCACTTTAAGGCAAGTATTACATGACCTAAACATAAAAAGTAATCTCTTGTTTTTTAGTCAGCAGATTGGCAATTTAATTACAGTAACTACACTGAAAACAAATATATGTTATATAAGGGTTTTTTTTCAGCACCCAGCTGCTGGGAAAAAGTAATATGACGAACGTTAAATTACAGAAATTTTCTTACATTTTAATTTCCAGTAAATTTCTATCATTTACCGTCTGTTATTTTACACCAAATGTCTGTAATTTAACGATTGTTATTTTAGGTTACAGATTTTTACATTACACCCAAAACTGATAAGAATATTATAGTTCTTTCAAAAACATCTTTAAGAAAGTCTTATACTGACCCCAAACTTTGGCCAGCCACTGTATCTGTATAGTTTGTTCTTACCTCTGACATTTTTTGTAACTAATATATGTTCTAAAATACTTTAAATAATATAATTAAAATATATTTACCACACCATTTTACAGTGTTAAACTACATAAATTACACATTATTACATGCAGTAACCCTAAGGCTAATGCTTTCATACTGTACATATTGTTAATTAATATTACCCAATGCCTATTGTAAATGTGTTACACTTTAACAAGTACATCTAAGAACGAACAGTAGCCAAATGTATTCTGTTAATCATTAAAAAACACACCCCATGCACTCGAAATTGTTACCTTTTCATCCACTGTAAAATGCATTCCTTGCAGAAGACATGGTTGCATTTAAGCCGTACAGGACAGCGTAAAACAGCTCTACAGATGACACAAATCAGATCATCATCTGGAGGATCCACAAACTGATCCACTTCATAACCTCCAGTCTAATACGAGAAAAGCAGTAATCATTATAGGATGTCATTTATCTAGTGGAATGTGCAAGCAGTATTATTAGGTATTATGCCATGACACTCCTTTAAAAGAAGTTATTTCCTGGGTAAATACAAGCTTATAATATTAAATATTAATATTAATAAAACAACTTTTTTTAATAATAAAACTTTAAGATTTATAAACACTCAGAGTGTACACTGAAAAAATAACTGTTTTGGTCTAATTTCTAGTCAAAATATAAAAATAATCTTAAATCAAGAAGCATTTTCTGGACCTAAAAGTGTCCTGTTTTCAGAAAAAGTGCAAATAAATGGGTTCTACCCCAAAATATGCCAAACAATATGCGAACGAGGTAAGAAACATATTTATTTATTTAGTTATTTAAAAAAAAGTTAATTTTACTGCACCATTGGCAGATTATTTTGCATGTTAAGGAAAAACCCCACTTAATTAAAAGATAAAACATTATGTTTTTCTAGAAAATGCTTCCTAATTTAAAAATATTTAGATATTTGGACTAAAAACAAGACACAAACTTTAAATAATAAAAGCTTTAACAGTATTTTTTTCACAAAGGTTATAAAAAATAAAGAAACTCACCATTTTCTGTTGCCTTTTACGCACACGGCTGATACAGATGCTGAATAATTCAGAGAGCTAAAAAGACAGACATCGGTCATCACAACACGCAGCAAAACATCCCAAAGAAGATCACTTGACCCGGGATCATTCAGAAATGCATCGCAGATGTCCAATCTTCTCTTCTCTTCCATTCTAGCACAAGTGACAAATGTGGTTAGCACCTGACAACTTTTTGACACTAGCCACTGGGACTCTATTTTGGTAACATCTAGGTTTTACTTATCAGACAAAGGCACTGCTATGGAAACCGCTGAACTTCAATGGCTGCTGCTCTAGAGGATACAAGCCCTATTCTCTAAACACACAGGGCTGAATGGCCTGTGGAAACACGGCAGCCGTTTGGACACAATGGAAGATTTCATAAATCAATATATTGAATGTTTGCCATTAAGGATGTCTTGCACTTTAGGTGAATATATGTGTGGCAAACGTCAGCTGTTTAACAACTATTTGCTAAATTAGTTTAATAATTTAATTTAGCTAAAGGTAAAATATAAAGGAAACTTCATGAAGGTGTTACTTTTGGGTGAAATCTATACACTGAAATATGCTTTTTGTCTTGTTTCTAGTCCAAATATCTACCTATTCTTAATTATTCCTAATAATTTCAAAATGAAGTGCATTTTCTCTTTAAACAAGCTAAATAATCTGCCAAAGGGGTAAACAAAATAATATTGTTTTTCCTTTTGACATAAGATTATTTAGCTTACCCGAATAGCAGATCATTTAGCTTGTTTTAATGAAAAACCTATTGAATTTTGACAAAATAGCTAAAATAAAGCAGTATGTTATGTTTCTCTAGAAAATGCTTCATTTTGTACATACTTTTAGATATTTGGAAAAAACAAAACATTTTTTGCAATGTAGCTTCAGTATTTGTGGATTGTACTCATTTGATCATCTTAGAGCTGCGTGATTCTGGATAAACTGAGAGTCACAAAATTTATAAATGTAAATTAATATATATATATATATATATATATATATATATATTTTTTTTTTTTTTTTTTTTTTTTTTTTTTTTGGAGATATGTGCATTATCTAGAAAGATAGTGGATAAAAGGTAAAAGTGGATACAAACTAATTAAAATAAAATAAAATTGCTTTTAAAGTTGTCCAAATGAATTTCCTTGCAATTTGCTGATCAATTTTTTATAATAATTTATTATAAATATTTTTCTACTAGTATTTATATATTTATGGTAAGACATTTACTAAATATTTTCATGAAAAATGATCTTTACTTAATATTCTAATACTTTTTGGCATAAAAACAATAATTTTGAAATGCAGCTGATCCACAAAGTCACCATAGTTTTGCCACACTAACCATACTTTAACCATGGTATTTATAGCAAAACTATTGTTAGGAATCAATTCATCAAAAAACTCTACTACAATAATTGTTATAAAACCGTGGTTCATTTTAATCAGGCAAAGAGTAAGCTAATGATCATTAGTGAAAAAACAACCTTCTACTGAGGTAAGACAATAGTTAATGAGACAGTAAAACGATTAGGAAATTTGAGAAAATCACCTTTAAAGCTGTCAAAATAAAATTGTTAGCAAAGCATAATAATAAATAAAACTTTCTGAGAAGATTTGATAGATGGCTGGAAATTTTAAAAAAGTCTTCATTTTTCCTTTTAATTTTTGGCTTTTACCATAAATAGTGAAACATAAGAGTGGTTTTGTGGTGTCTGGTTTCATTTTTTCAAGCAGGTAGAACCTGTCCTACACATTGGTGATATAATAAGGGGAATTTGCCAGGATAATTTGACGTTATAAAAGAAGTCTTCTCAAACACGTACACAAACACATTATAAAAGTAGTCTTCTCAAACACGTACACATCTTAAGCATCAATAACAGACAAACAGGCAATAAAAGCTGACAAACTATTTCTGAGAATGTCAGTTTTACTTAAGCGCAGCTTCCTGCACAGAAACCTCAAGACACTCCTTAGGTTAATGATTGCAATTTATTACCAGTAGTTGACTTGTTCATCTTGCCGTTATGATTAGCGGGAATTTAACAAAGCCAAACTCAGCTCACTGATGGGCATCATATTAGAGATCCATTCTCAAAACAGGCCAAAAAGAACAGAAAAACATAAAGTAAAATAATTAAATTTGTTTTTCTTGTTTTTTTTCTTTTGTTCACGACATCGTCCTAGCAGGTATCAATTTCATTATCTGAAAATGTTGCACATTATATTGCTCTTGCACTTTTTCTACATTTTTTTATGTTACAGCTTTATTCCAAAATGGATTAAATTCATTTATTTCCTCAAATTTTTACACACAATACCCAGTACAATATCAGTATTCACAGCCTTTGCCGTGAAGCTCTAAATCGAGCTTAGGTACATTCTGTTTCCACTGATCATTCTTGAGATGTTTCAGCAGCTTAATTGGAGTTCACCTGAGGTAAATTCAGTTGATTGGACATGATTTGAAAAGGCATACTGTCTATATAAGGTCCCAGGGTTGACAGTGCATATCAAAGCACAAACCAAGCATGAAGACAAAGGAATTGTCTTGAGGCACATGGCTGGGGAAGGTTACAGAAAACTTTCTGCTGAAAGTTCCAATGAGCACAGTGGCCTCCATCATCCATAAGAGGAAGAAGTTTGGAACCACCAGGACCCTTCCTAGAGCTGACTGGCCATCTAAGCTGAGTGATCAGGGGAGAAGGGCCTTAGTCAGGGAGGTAATCAATAATGGTCACTCTGTCTGAGCTCCAGTATTCTTCTGTGGAGAGAGGAAAACCTTACAGGAGGACTACCATCTGTGCAGCAATCCACCAATTAGAGCTAGACAGAAACCACTTCTTATTATTGGAATATGCCAAAAAGCATCTGAAGGACTCTCAGACCATGAGAAACAAATTTCTCTGGTTTGATGAGACTAAAATTGAACTCTTTGGATTGAATGCCAGGCGTTACGTTACACTAATACCATCCCTACAGTAAAGCATGGTGGTGGCAGCATCATGCTGTGGGAATGTTTTTTTTGCAGCAGGAATTGGAAGACTAGTCAGGATAGAGGAAAAGATGAATGCAGCAATGTACAGAGACATCCTAAATGAAAACCTGCTTCAGAGTGCTCTTGACCTCAGACAAGGGCAACGGTTCATCTTCCAGCAGGACACTGATACAAACCACACCGCCAAAATATCAATGGAGTGGCTTCACAACAACTCGGTGAATGTCCTTGAGTGGCCCAGCCAGAGCCCAGATCTTAAACCTATTCAACATATCTGAAGAGATCTGAAAATGGCTGTACACCATCGCTACCCATCCAACCTGATAGAGCTTGAGAGGTACTACAAAGGGGAATGAGCAAAAATTCCCAAAGACAGATTAGCCAAGCTTGTGCCATCATATTTAAAAAGTCGTGAGGCTGTAATTGCTGCTAAAGGTGCATCAACAAAGTATTGAGCAAAGGCTGTGAACACTTATGAACATGTGGTTTTTCAGTTTTTTTTTTTTATCATACTAAATTTGCAACAATAAAAAAAATAAAAGTTTTACATTTTCATTATGGGGTATTGTGTATAACTTTGAAGAAAAAAAATTAATTATTCAATTTTGAAATAATGCTGTAACAAAAAAAAAATTGGAAAAAGTGAAGTGCAATGAATTATTTTTCAGATGCACTATAATATAAAATAAATTTAACTCTTTGCCCTGTTAAATTATTTGTCCAGTGAATATATGTATATGTGTGCGTGTGTGTGCATTTGTGCATATTAAAAAAAAATCCCACATCAAAATCGTAGGAAACATTTATTAAAACGTATGAAGTTAAGCAAAAATCCAGACAAAACCTTTTCCAGTGTGGAATACCATAAACTTGACAAAAAGACTATAACATTAATATAACATTAATGAAACTATGAATTTTTACAATATGTAAACAGTAACTACATCCAACAGGTTATGCATAATATATAACAAACAAGAACACAGAATAGAATAGAATAAACAAGTCATTGCAATATGTTTGCATAAATTTCAGATAAACTCCCATCTTTATGATTAGATGTTAGTATGCAATAATATTAATGTAACTATCAAAAAGACTATTTGTAAAACACTTACATGACTACAGTTGTGGATCATGAAGTGTAAAGTCTTAAAGATTCGCCAACAAATTTCTTCATAACAGAAGCCTACAAAATCACAGACTAATTTACATTTAACTGTGTTAATCGCATGCAGAACACACAGAATAACACTTCCAGCATTTATTTTCCTGGCATCTGACGCAAAGCATGCTGTAAACTAGAAACCCTTTTTAACAGTGATTGAGTAAAAGGATTTCATTTCATTCTTTCAAGCTCTTCCTCCATCTACCATGACTTGTCTTTCAGGAGCCAGTCGCACAGATGTTGCTAGAGCAGCTTTACGGGTGTAGGTGGTGCAGCGCTGTAGGATCTCTCGAGTTTGTGGTCTGGGTGGGACCTTTGGAGCTCCGACTCCCTTCATCGGATGTCCAGTGTCAGAGTTGACAGGACTGGACTGACCACTGGACAAAGCGCTATCGCTGCTGTCTGCCTCTTTATCCTGCCGTATCAGAGGGCCCTCATCTTCTTCTGAGCTGGACATGCTGGGGCTCATGGAGGTGGTGTCTGAAGAGCTGAAGCTGAAGTCGGTTCCATCATCGCTGAAGCTGCCGGACTCTTGACGCTGCACTTGATCGGTGAAGTGACTCTGAGGTTCTGACAGGATTTCTAGGGAGCTAGACTTAAGGAAACGATTGATTCTGTTTCGCTGGGGCTCTGGTTTGGGAGAGTTGCTGGTAGACAGGTTGATGGTGGAGCTGTGAAGTTTCCTCTGAAGTGTTTGAAGGCCAAAACTGGGGCTGCTGTAGAGCTTTAGGTACATGGAGGGCACGTAACCAGCCGTATTGTTATATCTGATGATGGAATACAAATGTTATCATTTTTGTGTTTGTGTTTACAGATTCCTACTGAAGACCTGTTGCGGGTGTGATATATATATTTCAGCATTATTGACAGAACAATGGAGATTTACAGACAGGAAAGTGTGGGGAGCAGAGGAAGGGGAAGGATTGGCAAAGGTTCTTAAGCCAGGAATTGACCTCATGTCACCGGGTGCGCCTGGGTGCTATGTGTCGAGGCATTAACCACTAGGATATTGGTGCTAGGCATGGGCCGGTAAAAGTTTCTGACGATATGATATCCTTGGATAAACATACCACAGCTTCACTGTGTCATGGTTTTGTGATTACTGCTCTAAAATAAGACCTTTCTAAATGTTTATCTAAAAAAAAAAAAAAATTCCCATTGAACTCAATTTCTTTTAGTTCTAAAAAACATTTATAATATTTTGGAACAGTAAAAATGTCAGGCTAAATAGCTAAAATAAATCATTCACTTCTGCTGTCTTCATTAGTTTCAAA